CGGCACAATCTATGTGGTGCAATCCACTTGGAAAACTTGAAGTTATCAACTCCACTGCTCGCGCGCAATCACCCCACCCACCCACCCGCAACTTGATTTGAAAAACCCATGCTGGAGCGATTGCGATGACTGCTGGGTGCTGGATGTCGTCGACGACGGCGGCGACGACGACGACGCCGACGTCCACGACGACGAAGACGACGACGACGTCGACGCCGACGACGACGACGAAGACGACGACGACGTCGCCCACGAAGACGACGACGAGGGAGGAGGGAGGACGACGACGGCGACAACGACGACAACGACGACAACGACGAGGGAGGAGGGAGGACGGCGACGACGCGAACGACGAAGAACGAGGAAGGACGGCGACGCCGACGACGACAACGACGAGGGAGGAGGGATGACGACGACGACAACGATGACGACGACGACGGCGACGAAATAGGAGGGACGACGACGAGACGCCGACGACGGACGACGACGACGACGAGGAAGGAGGAGGAAGGACGACCACGGCGACAACGACGACGGAAACGACCTCGACGCCAAAGAGGACGACGACGACGAACACGAGGAAAGACAAAGGACGACTTAGGCGACGACGACGACGACGCGGGAGGAGGGAGGACGGCGACGACGACGACGACGACGACGCAAGAGCGCGCGCGCTTTTGTTGAAAATCCGTGTTGCGAAACCTTGTATTTTGGTGTGTTTCTTGGACACACGATTTTGAAATCCTCCCGAGACCGATGGGTTTTGAAGGTTTTCGGCATACGCGCGCGACGACGCGCGCGTCTGCACTTCATCCCATTTTTTGCAGAGGATTCTCGCGACGGCACACGCGCAAGGGCGTTCGACAGATTTCGACATGCGCGCGCGCGACGCCCGTTTGGTAGCATTTTGTGAAAATCTTGAAAAACCTATGGTCTTCTTAAGATTTCGCAAGAGCTCGCGCGGAAGCTTTTTTAGCAAATCAGTGTTGCGAAACCTTGTGTTTTTGCATGTTTTTTTTGAAACTCGATTGCGAAATCCTTCCTGCACCGAAGGTTTTTGAAGGATTTCGGCATGCGCGCGCAACGACGCGCGCGTGCACTTCGTCCCATGTTTTGCAAGGGATTCGTGAAAAAGTGTTATGTTAGAACAGAAATGTCACCGCATAGTGTTTTTCACCAAGGTACCTCAGGGGGGGGGAAACCGGTTGGCCTGGGACATTGTGGTTTCATATTTAGGATGAGCATGTGGTCAGAATCATATGTGATTTACATACCCGAAATGGGTAGCGATAACGCCGGGGGGGAGAGTCTATATTGTTTTTAAAAAGGAGAATCCACTTTGACTGTCTTGCAGCTGTCCACTCCACTGCTCGCGCAAACATCCCACCCACCCACCCGCAACTTGGTTTGCAAAATCTCTTAAGACCGTGACGGTGGGTACCAAATGGCACTTGGCAACGACAGCGACGCCGACGACGACAGCGACAACGACGACGACGCCGCCGACAACGACTACGACGACACCGACGACGTCTCCAACGACTTCGACGACGCCGACAACGACGACGACGACGACGACGACACCGACGACGAAGACGACGACGCCGACGCCGACGACGACGACGACGATGACACGACGACGACGATGACGACGCCGACGACGACGACAACGACGACACCGACGACGACGACGACGACGTCAACGACGCCGACGACGACGACGACGACGACGACGACGGCGGCGACGACGACGACGCCGACGTCGACGACGACGAAGACGACGACGACGCCGACGTCGACGACGACGACGACGAAGACGACGTCGTCGCCAACGAAGACGACGACGAGGGAGGAGGGAGGACGACGACGGCGACAACGACGACAACGACGACAACGACGAGGAGGAGGGAGGACGGCGACGACGCGAACGACGAAGAAGGAGGAAGGACGGCGACGCCGACGACGACAACGACGAGAAAGGAGGGAAGACAACGACGACGACAACGACGACGACGACGACGGCGACGAAATAGGAGGGACGACGACGAGACGCCGACGACGGACGACGACGACGACGAGGAAAGAGGAGGAAGGACGACCACGGCGACAACGACGACGGAAACGATCTCGACGCCAAAGAGGACGACGACGACGAACACGAGGAAAGACAGAGGACGACGTAGGCGACGACGACGACGACGACGACGCGGGAGGAGGTAGGACGGCGACGACGACGACGACGACGACGCAAGAGCGCGCGCGCACGCTTTTGTTGAAAATCCGTGTTGCGAAACCTTTGGTTTTTGTATGTTTTTTGGAGACACGATTTTGAAATCCTTCCGAAATCGATGGGTTGTAAGGTTTTCGGCAAACGCGCGCGACGACGCGCGCGTCTGCACTTCGTCCTATTTTTTGCAGAGGATTCTCGCGACGGCACACGCGCAAGGGCGTTCGACAGACTTCGACATGCGCGCGCGAAGCCCGTTTGGTAGCATTTTGTGAGGATCTTGAAAAACCTATGGTTTTCTAAAGATTTCGCAAGAGCTCGCGCGGAAGCTTTTTTAGCAAATCAGTGTTGCGAAACCTTGTGTTTTTGCATGTTTTTTTGGAAACTCGATTGCGAAATCCTTCCTGCACCGAAGGTTTTTGAAGGATTTCGGCATGCGCGCGCAACGACGCGCGCGTGTGCACTTCGTCCCATGTTTTGCAAGGGATTCGCGAAAAAGTGCTATGTTAGAGCAAAAGGTGCCCCCGGGTATCGTTTTTTACAAGGGAACCTCAGGGGGAGCGATACCGGCCCCCTGGGGATAGAGCAAATTCAAATTTCGGATGGACATGTGGTCAGAATCATACATGATTTACATACCCGAAAGGGGGACCGATAACGCCTGTGGGGGGTAGAGTCTATTCTCTTCTTAGAAAGGAGAATATATGTTCTACAATTTGTGGCGACGGGGCGGCGACGACGAGCACGGCGGGGCCGCCAGACCGCAACCCAGGCCCAGACGTCGGGCGACGACGGGGCGGCGGCGGAGCGTCGACGGCGAGCACGGAGTCGCCAGACCGACGTTCAGGCCCAGACGACGGGCGGCGACGGGGCGGCGACGGGGCGGCGACGGGGCGGCGACGGGGCGGCGATGAAGAGCACGGAGTCGCCGGACGGACTTTCAGGGCCAGTCCACCAGAAGAGAGGCACAAGCCCCTGAGTGCAAGCATTGTTCGGAGAAAGTCTGCACGAGCATCAACTTCACACTTTCGAGGGACACCCTCCCTGGCGCGCTCGGCGCGCCAGTGGCGGCGCCGCCTGGGGTCCAGCGCCGACCTCAGAGAGCCACGCGGACCTCCGAACATGTATGTTGATGCCTTCTGCTTCCTTCGAGGCGGAAGGGTGCAAGCGTTAGGTCGGGCGTGTCCTCCTACAGGCGGATTTTGGAGGACAAATGCAACATAGTCTACTAAAAAATTGCCCCCAAAAAATCTAAATTGAAGATTCCTCTTGTAGAAGGACACGCCCGACTTAATGCAAGCGAGAGCCTTCGGGGCCGGACAGGCGAGAGCGGGCCGAGCAAGCAGGGCCGGGCCGAGCAGGCGCGGCGGCACGCTGGACAGGCCAAGGTGCAGACGGCAGACCCTTCGGTGGCCACTCCTGGGGGCCTCCCGCGGATTTACAAAGCCGTGTGGATCTGGCGGGGGAGGGGTTGGACGAACGCGGGGTCGAAAACGAAAGGGTTCCACTCTTGTTGTCCCTCACGTACCGGCCCCTCGGGCAAACCCGGACGTGGATTACAAATGCGTGTCCCCGCAGACATGTGGAGCCAGTGCCGCCCCCGGCTCGGTGACAGTGCGCGCCGATTCCTGCATGGTGCTTGGGCACGGGACCCGTCGCTGATCCAAGGCCTTTGATGCGCGCTTGCGATTCCTCGATCCTCGCCCTTCGGTGGCAACTCGGGGAGCCTCCTCTGCCATCTTGTCGGCATTTGCGAATTGACGCCAGTCGACGCTGGTCGACGCAACTCGACGCTAAATCGACACTAATCGACGCAAACCCACGCTAATCGGCGCTATCTCATCGACTCCCAGACGCTAGTCGAAGCTAAAGACGGAATTAAGAGGGTATACCAGGCTCCCATGATTTGCTACCGAACTCGCCCCCATCACCCCCGCTTCCCGCCCTATTCTAATGTCTCCTCTTCGCTGCCCTCCGTCATTCCCCCATGCCCCGCGCTGCCTTCTGCACCCCGCCCGAACTGGCATGCGGAGTGCGGCGAGGGGCCGAACCTCAGTCAAGGCACCCACCAAAACGCGCAAGTTCCAAAACCTCCCACCCGGATCGCAGCGCGGACTTATCGGTGAGCGTTTTCTTATTCGGTGTTTCAACATTGGGCGGAAGACGGGGGGAGCAGGGGAGGGGACTCTGGCTCTGGACCCTCTGCTTAATGCGACGGTTGGCAGCAAGGCGCCCTGTGGGGGAGACTCCACCCGCTCGAAAAACAGGCGCCCAAAACAGCCAAGCCTTACTCCATTAGGGGCATCAGGGGGCCACATGTGAACCCTACCCCTATCCCCCACGATTTCCGAGGGGGAGGGTGGGGTTCACTTCGGACCGGCCCAGTCGACATGCCCGTGCCGGGCACTCCCGTGGACCACGTCCTCGGGGCGCTCGCTCGCCACTCGCTCTCCGCCTGTTGCTCGGGGCGTCCGCTCGTCGACTGCACCCCGCCGATGCGTGCCCCGACGCCTTCCGCCCTGAGCCGCCCCGATCTGCAACACGCAACACGTGGCGTATCGATGCGGAGCCCAACACGTGTCCTGAAAACGTGGGTCTGACGCGATAGTTTCGCCGAAACGTGGGCCAGTACGTTGAGCCAACACGCAACGTGTTGGCACGGACGTTCTGAGCATGGCACGTGTTGCGTGCCAAAACATGCGCATCGAGGCGGAGCTGAGCCTCCGCCTGCGCGTCGAGCGTCTCACTTTCAAGCCTGAAGGCCCGCCGGCACCGTGTTGTCTGGGTTGAGGACGCAGGACACGGGGTTGTTGTCGACCAGCAC